TATATAATTTAATCCAAGCAAAATTTTGTTTCCTGCAGAATTTTTTTTTCAAAGATGTCTTCATGCCGCACCAGAGAGGAAAGAAGTAATCGTGATTTTTCTTTTCTCATTTGGGGTTTAAAAAAAAAGTACGTAATGACTGGCTTCATCTAGAATTTCAAATTAATAATATAAATTAAAAAATTCAGAAATCGTGAAAGTTAAAAAATAGTTTGCTCTAGAAATTATGTTCTTTCATTCTTTAAAGAACACCATGTTACACACACACTAATTTAAATATATCTTTTAGTCCTATTCGCCTGATTTCGTGGTCGATCTTTATTTTGGAGTTACTGTATTTTATGACTTTTAATTTATGCAAATATTTTAATTTATCGTCGCTTAAATTTTTTACGAATTTTAATTTTTATAATAATTAACCAAATTTAAAAAGAGGAAATAATTTGTGTATTTTTCCGCCTACAAAATGAGAGAAAGCATCTATAATATTAGATTTAAAAAAATAAAAATTTCACAATTAAAATTTATTCTATACTTTCTTCTGTAAACACAAAGTTTCTGTTACTTTAAATTGGAAATTGTTATAATTAAAAATATCTTAAAGAGAATTATATATTAATGCTGGAGAAGTTTGTCGCAGACATCCCGAAAAAATTCTGCCACAGGGAAATTTTAAATTTATGCCAAAATATTCAAACGCTTTACAATTCAGAATTTTTTCCGAAAACAAAAAAAATAAAAGATTGTTAAAAATTAGTTAATTACATCTTTGGATAAACGATTTTTATAATTAGGTGCAAATATTTCTTGATTTACTAAAAAAGTTTTCGAGACAGAGCAAAATACTGAAGAAAAAAAAGTGAAATTAAGTTCCAACTTCCGAATGCTTTTTTGCTTAAATTATTGGGACTAAATTTTTCGGATTGCGGTAACCCATTTTTTAGGGGTCAGAAATCTGAATTCGTATAAAAAAAAGTACGTTTATCCGCAAGAAGTACTTTTTTGTGCCTGATTTCGTAGTTTAGAATATCGACGGTAATTAAATAAGTATAAGTCCTACAACATGAAAATTTTATCATAAGTTATTCACGATATTCGCTTTTTTTTCTTTATACATTCGGTACAACAATTACAACATCTTAATAGTTATAAATTATCTCGAAGAGTATCTTAAATAATATCTCAATAATTATCTCAAAGAGTATCTCAAAGTAGAAACCTCTCCCTTACATTTTCGAAATCTTAAGATTATAACATGAAATATATGTATTTGATGATATTAATATATATTTAAAATATGAAAATAAATATTGAAAATTAGAAAATATATGTATTTGAAAACATGAAAATAATATTTGAAAATATGAAAAATACATGAAAAATAACATTTATGCCCACGCTAGGAAAAAATAAGCTTTCGCAAACTAAAAATGGTAGTTTCATCAAAACTTGTGTTTTACTTACTTATTAGTATAATGGTTTTTGCTTGGAATTTTCGCTTCATTTTTACGCTTTTTAGTTTCCATATTCTTAATGGATACCTGGAAAAAAATATTTATTAATGCTAAACATATAATACAGATAATAATGAGATATTGATTTGATCAAATTTTAATTATTAATATAGTATTCCCAGAATGAATTGAAAAAATGGTGGTTGGATGCAATAGTAACTTATATCACTTTTAGAGATTGAATTTCTCTTAAAAAAAAACTGAAAACTTTTAAAGACTAAATTTATTTTAAAGTGATGCAGTAATGAAAACTCAGTAAGTTACGTTTATTTTATTTTTTTACGTTTTTTATTTTATTTTTTTTATTTTTCAGAAATAATTTATAATAGCATGACAAATGGTTATTAATTTTTCCAAAGAACACCCTTTCGATATGCTATAATGACTGGACTAATGAAAATTTTTTTGATGATATTATTGGATTAATTAAGAACAAACAAAAAAAAACATTTCCCATGCAAAGTAATTGATATAAATCCATTTAATAACCATACAATACGGAACATAAGTTTCAATAAATAAAAAAAAAATATTGAATCTCTAAAATATTGATTTTATGTAACACTATTCATTCTACTTTTAAATTTATTTAAAAACAATGAAATAAAAATGAAAACAAATTCATTAATGTTTTTATATGTAACTAAATACAGCTTCACAAAGATAGAATAATTAAGAACTAGCTTGTACTATTGCAAATTTTAAAGCTATACTCATAGGGTCCTTTTTTGATGGAAAACGCATACCACTTCCTCCTTGCTAACGTCTGTCCACACATTTTGTGAAAGTTCCGTTTTTCGTGAAATTGTGAAAAAATTACTCACATTCTTTTAACCAGGGTCCGCTTTTATGAATTGGTGCAAATAGGGTCCGGTTATTGCAAAAAACTTTTTCAAGGAGTTTTTAAATTGTAAATAGATACAAGATTATGCTCGGCAGTGTAAAATTATAATAAAAAAATTAATTTTTCAAAAATAAACAGCAATTGCTGTTTCTAAATTAGAGATGCAACATACAAATATTTGGTATTTAGCCTTTACTGCTGAACGCAGAAAATTCATTTCGGACGAATAATGAAGTATCGTCTGCGGAAGGCAAAACTTAATTCATTTACATCCATCTTTCTTGTTTACTGCCCTGGAAAGGGTTTATTTGATTAACAAAACAATATTGAAGATTAACAAATTTGTGAAGGATCCGATTAAAAGTAAAATCATTTTCTGAAGGGTCCGTTTTTAAGTTAAAATATTTTGCGAAGGGTCCGTTTTTATGAAAAGATATTTTGTGAAGGGTCCGTTAACGGACCCAAATTTCTTCTAAACAGACCCCTGCTAACATATGGTGATTTATGTGTCCTGAATTTCTTTATTTCTTCATTTCTGAATACTTTTTGTTTAATTTTATTCTTTGAAATATGTTGTATTAAACTATTTATCGAAATTACCGAGAATTCAACATAAGGATTGTAAATATTTTTAAGAAAATTCCAGACATAAATCACGCGAGGTTAAGATGGAGAAAGTAAAATCTTTATTTTTCTATATGTAGGGGACCCTTAATTCTATTGTTTTGGTAATTTACATGCATGTTCAAAGATCAAAAATAGTATTTTTTAAGTAAAGCTTTAATCTTACGTAGTAACAATACAATGCAAATCATGAATATTGCAAAGTTTAAGATGTATGTTACAGTCATATAGTTGCGTGAAGTAATAAATTTTACCACCGTCGTTAAACAGCCGACCCAATTTTCAGAGTTGACTACTATGGTTCAACTCAGTAGTCTAATAATTTTGAACCCAATCTAGAAGACAATGCAACACCTTGAACAAGCATTGGGAGAAATTTGCCTTCGTGGTGAAATTTTAGATGGAACTACTCCTCATTTGCGTTAAATGGAGAGAAAAATTACGAAAACCTCCCACGGTTTGTCTAACGGGAAGGGGACTCTAACCCATGACCCGTCTACCACTAAGGTTAATTTACGTCAGCACTGGTGGACGTTTGAAGCCGGATACAGAATTCGTATAGACCAGTTATCGCTGGGATTCGAACCCAGTTCCCCGCAATGGAAGGCGAATGCTCTATTCCCTAAGCCATCATTGTATTATTCAACCCTGTCCCGCCCCCGTCAGGGGGCATCCAGGGAGAACTGATAGATTACAAACATAATTATAACACAAAGAATTTAAAACATAAAAGAACATAAAATTGAAAATATAGTGGATGGTGAGCAATTACAGATTGAAAGATGAGCTAATATTAAGCTATAATTAAGGTAACAGTGAATCATGAATATTTACAGATGAAAAGAACTCAATTCACAAAGACATTTGAAGTGGATGCAATTCATAGCGATGAGAGTACCTGCGGATATACCTGTCACATGAAAGATATAGTTGTGTCGCCATTCCCAGAAATCAGATACATTCTAGTCTAAGGATTCCGTTAAATTCAGTTCAAAATGTCTTTTTATGATAAGTTCGATTCCCTTGCTGATTTTCGGGATCGTCCAGAGATTTTTGATAGTTTCCATAGTCGTATTAGATGGAAAGTATGAAGATCGCAGATCTTGAAAATCTGGGCATGCAAATAGTATGTGCTCTAAGTCCTCCAAGCACCTGCAGTTCTGGCATTGATCGGTTTTGTTGTGGAATCGTGATTGGTACGTGCCCTGGGTTCCGTGGTTTGTGAGACATTGGCCCAGACATTGTGAGACATCCCTAAGCCATCATGGCTCTCAAGTGAAAAATTGAAGAAAATAGTTGGATTTGAAAATTGAAGAGAATAGTTGGCTTGTTTGCGGCTAGAGGACAAGCCGCACTTAAGTTTTCAAGGAGATGCAATCACGATTTGCCACACCAACCACACAATTTTTTTTTAAAGTTCGAATTTAACAAAACTATTTTTTTTTCATAGTTCCTTATAAAATATATAAAAATCACCTTATACAAGCTTTATTATCATGTTAGCTGAATACCTGTTCTTCTGAAGAGAAAAAAAGAAAAAAAAATCAATACCAAGCAGCACTACGAAATCATGCTCAAAACTTAAATGGGTATATTTTGAATTGAAGGGCTTAGTGAACTACAAACTGAGATTAAAGTATCAAGTAGGTGAAATTTTTATGGGAATTAATGAACCAGAGAAAATATCAGAAAGTGGTTGAATCAATATAAGAATGTTTAATGTAACGAAACTGTTTTTTTTCCCCTTACACTTTAAAATGAATAATCTACATTAGCTTTTAGTACGATTGCAGGGTAGCCACAGTAAAAAATGAACAAAAATAGTTGCTTTTAGTAGCCTCAAGCATGAAAATAGTTACCTAAAACTATGAAAATAGTTGCCTGAACAGGAACAAAAAATTATCAAAAATAGTAGCCAAATAACTAAAATTATAAATACTGTGATGTGTACTCCAATTAAAAAAAAACGTTTTGTACAAATATGAAAGTTTTCATTTTAGAAAATAGGTACCTAAATAAAAGTCGAAATACAATAAAATATTAATGCTAACAGAAGGAAAAAACAATTAAAAATAACAAACTACACCTCAGAGGGAAAAAAATAACAAGTACTTCATTAAATCTAATGGAAATTTAAATTTTTGGCTCTTTGGACATAAATGATTGCATAAGAGTTTGCTTTCTTTTATTAACAATTTGGTTTATTTTTTGTTCATTTGTTTCATGCTCTTTTTCTTTATGTCGCAATTGCAGACTACCTTCAATCATGCTTTGTGCAAGTCTAATTCCTAGCATATCTTTAGCCTTAAGGGCTTCTTTAAGTCTTTCATTTGCTTCTTCTGACAACTTGTCATTTTAACTCATTTTTAGGTTGGTTTATTAAAAGGGCTTTATTTTCTAGCTAGGTCACAGATTCTTGTAGCTTTGACAGTTTTTAATCAAGTTTTTTTTCCTCTTAATTTTTCTTGTTCTTCCTCTTGAAGACACTTCTCTTCTTCTTTCCAACTTTTCTTGCTCTTCTATGGAACTCTCATACGACTTTCGAGCACAATAAGCCAACTTAAGAAGTTGTTGATCTCGAACTGGGCAACACTAAAATATGGCCTCAGAGAATCTATAATTATTAATCTATCATTCAGAAGCCGATCTGACATCAGCGCCTTTTCTTCAGCAAGGACTCTTTTCGATATGGAAAAACCACTTTGGAACATCACTATTGCCATGACTTAATGACAAACAAGATTTGATCAATTTGCTTAGTGAGGGATATTTCAACATACCCAGAGATGTTTTTTCATAAAGTGCATCCCTCCAAAAATGATCAATTCTCTTTAAACTTTTTGGAATTGCTGATTCTGTACTGCTTAAAATATCTTATTGTAAAACTCTCCATTCACCTTTATCATCAAGCTACTTGATACCCAAAAATGAAAAAGAATTAGCGAGTCTGCCAACGGAATTCATACCTTCAATGCATGATATTTTATCTTCCTTAAGGCAATGGAGATCTTTCAACAACCTATTTTTTAAAATGCTCTTAGACTTAATGTAATTATATGTAGCCATATAATGTCTTTGAATCTTAAAAATCTCATAACTGTAAAAAAAATTTTAAGTAGTTAATTAATTAATAGACTAATTCTAAAAAAACGTCATCCTTTTTCGTATTTATTTTTCAAAAAAATGCGTGCAGGAACGAAAGTAAAAATTAAAATTAATTATGCTTTATTTATCTTTTTCCTTCAGTGGGGTGAAATAACAAGGGAGGGGTTAGCGTGATGACGTCACGGAGCACAAGCACGTGGTAGGCGGCACCCGAGGAAACTGAAAAGTATAGTTCGTTCACCAGTAGTTGGCACCTGGCTCCACCTCCTCGGACGCTGAGTTCATTTCAGCGCAGGAGAAAGAAGAGAAACATTTCCTCGCTTGAAATTGAGACAACCCTTAATGCGCACCAAACGCAAACAGTGACTTCTTTTTCAGTCACTTACTTTGCTTTATCATCTGCTATTATACCTTTCGTTTCTCTAGCTAATTAAATAGATTTTAATTTTAAAAA